TAATATAATAGTTCGTACAAAGCATAATTCATCTTCTAACAAAGTTGTTTTGCTAGTATTTGATTAAGAAAAACAAAAGTTCACAGATCTTTGGTCTGCGAATGTATCGGGAATATCTAATAATACAGCTTAATTTATTAATATAATAGTTCATACAAAGCATAATTCATTTTCTAGCAAAGTTGTTTATAGACCTTTGGCCTGTAAACTTCTGTTTTTTCTAATCAAATACTAGCAAAACATATTGAGAATATCTAATAATACAGCTTAATTCATTAATATAATAGTTCGTACAAAACATTATTCGTCTTCTAGCAAAGTTGTTTTGCTAGTATCTGATTAGAAAAAATAGAAATTCACAGGCAAAAGGTCTGTGAACATATAGAGAATACCTGATAATATATTAATATAGTAGTTCATACAAAGTATAATTCATCTTCTAGCAAAGTTGTTTTGCTAGTATTTGATTAAAAAAATAAAAGTTCGCAAGCCGAAGGTCTGTGAATATATAGGGAATACCTAATAATACAGCTTAATTCATTAATATAAGATAGTTCATAATGTATAATTTGTTTTCTAGCAGACTGAAGATCTGCAAACATTTTTAGTCATATACATTTCGATATTGAGTATTATTGTATAATATATATCTCACAAAACTATTATAAATACAGACTATTTAATATTATTTATATATTTATATATAACAGAATGCTATTTAATAATATCATTCAGGCTGGTGATTAGAAATACTCTTTTTTTTTTATTAAACTAGTCTTTTGAAAATTAAGGCTTTTTTATTTAGTATTGTAAAACACAGTAACTCATGATTCAATTACCTCAGAGAAGCTATCTTACATTAAAGAGTACTTTTAGCTATATGTATACTTTTGGTGTCTAATTTAAGTAGTCTGCTTATATATAGATTCTATACTAGCTGCTATATCTGCAACCCAACTACAGGTGTTGCTTATTTAAACCTTCTATACTGCAATCCTTACTGTTATTACTAGAACATCTCTATTACATGATGTCAATCGAGAAGTTCTAGATGCTTACTCATACTCTTAGAATCTCTGCCTTATTTTATACAGATTATTCTCAAGATATTGTTATTAGAGCCTTTTGTATCTCAAATTATAACTAAACCTAGTTTATAACCCTTGCAAAGTTTATACAACCCTAGTAACCTCCTTTTACAACCTTACTATTACCTCATCTACTCTTGCAAGTCCTTCTATACTACCAATCCAATTAGCCCTATATAATGTAACTTCATGCTCAGATCAATTAGTGGCCAAGTTGGTAAACCCTCTAACTAGAGGTTCTTGCCCATACAGGTCACCTATTCTAGGTTTTCTTCAGCAGATCAAGATCTTCACAGATGGCACTATTGAAAGTTATACTATCTCTCTGCTTAGAATTTTCAAGCAGGCTTCTAATTTAAGTATATATTTTCTGGATTTATTCATATATAAAGAAATATTAAAACCAATATTATATAAAACTTTAATATAAAGTGTAATAACTTAGTAAAATAAATAAGTTACCAACTTTTCAAATAGTAAGTTGAGTATTTAAATCCTATTAATGAATAATCACTTATATAATATTTATATTACAATAACTGTTTTTAATAATTAGGTTAAGATATCTATAATAATAGTTGTATTAGTATAACTGGAAGATTATAAAGCATTTGTATAACTAATTATATAAAAAAATACAAACCAATATTAGATAATGCAAATTCTAAATAAGTCTTTGTGACTGTATAAATTTGTTAAAATTAGAAAACAAAAAATTTATATATTTGAAAAAATTTAAGTAAAAAGTTAGTATAGATTTTTAATAGTACTACTGTAAAGACTAGACTATTGAAAACAGATATTAATATTAAAGTATCCAAACAAACAAGAACCTTTAAATAAGAGATAGGCTGATCTAATATACTAATAAACTAGTTATAGTCTTACATGAACTATCTGAATTGGAAATTTAAAGAACAAATAGAAGTATACTAAAGTACTAAGGATATGCTATAAAGTAGAGATCTGTATTGAGTTTTATAATTTAGTTTAGTTTACAAAAATTTGTAGACTAGATCAGATTTAAAACAAAATTTTATAATTGTAAACCAGACTAATTCAAAAAATTTATAAAATTTTATAATAAATTTTATAAGCTACACTAGGTTAGGTTGGACTAAAGAAAAAATTTAATATATATAAACTGAACTAGGGTAACAAAAAAATTTTAAATCTAAATATAGTTTAGGCTAAATCTTAAAAATAGTTAATTTGTAAGTTTCTATTGTAAAATAAATATTAAAATTCAAATAAACTTTATAAAGACATAGCAGTTTAATAGTTAGTTCTAATTACAAGTGTTAGTTCTACTATAGTAATATTTAAGTTAATGATAAAAATAGATACAGAAAACTCTGAAAGATTATTTTAAAGATAAAATAATTCTAAGATTAAGACGATGATTTGGTATGATCAGTGTTGGTCAAATTAGTGGTTGACTATAAGTTTGCTGGTCATTGGTTTTTGGTCAAACTGATCTGGTCAAATTGGTCAAATGGTTTAGCAATATGACAATCAAGCAAATTTGATAATAGTTATTTGGTTTAATTGAACATTTTTTTCTTATAACTAGACCACTTGACCAACTTGACCAATGTCAAAGATGCTTAACCAGACTGGTCATTGGTCAAACTGGTCTGGTCAAATGGTCGAATTGGTCTGGTCAGCCCAACACTGACTGTATCATAATACCTTTAGCCTCAAAAAGCATAACAGATTTTAGATAATTTTTGAAAAGTTTAGAATACGTATCAAGTGTTTTTTTAGTTTAAACTTTTTTTTATTATTAGGTAGTAGGTTAAATGCTATGTTATTTTGATAAATATTGTGAATAAATACACTTTTTATAAAAATTTTTACTATTAGTAACTCTTAAGTATACCATGGTACCCGTACCTCTCTTATATACCACATATCTATACGTACTATTATTTGTCCGTTCGTTTTGTAATCTGATTTGTCAATTTCAAGTACCGTGATCGGGGATTATCCGTACAAAGAGAATTCCTTTTTGATAATGCATAAATGTTAGAACATGCCCAGGCACTAGTAGTTTTGATTTACACAGTATATCGCATACCCCAATGAGGCATGTATGTCAAATGCTATTTATTTAAATTATTTAATAATAAAATATATACAAGCAAATGCCTTTGTTTCCAAGTTGGTTGAACTTTCTCAGCAAAAACAAAACATTGAATCAATTTTTAAACCAATTGCTAAATGTTTAATGACCTAAAAATGCAAGAGAAACATGGACAAAAAATATAATTATATTGAAAATAATATGTAGTCTTCTTTTTTTTTTGATGAGCACAAATAGTGTAACAAAGAATAGTTGATAGTCGATATTCGATACAATTATTAAATTTGCATGTTTTGCAAAGATTAATAATGTAATCGAAAGATATTAGGAATGCAATAGAAACAATTACGATTTGTAAGAAAAATCCAAATTTAATAGCTTTTCTTTAGAGGCATTCTTGGAAGATTATATTTTTTTGCATTTTTATTTTCCCGATATTTTCATTTCTATTTTTCCTACATTTTATTTCCTTGGCACTTCTTTCATCTTCATTATGATGCATTCGTATGAATCAATTATAATTATATATATAAAGAGTTATTATATTAGTTATATATTCATATTACGTATGGTTTAGTTGTTTTCACTTTATTAATGCGATACTTAAATGTTTATACACACTATATATATATTAGATATATTTAGATATATTTAGACAACAAACACACTACTATTTAGTACATAACGTATAGAGAACATGTTAAGAATATAGAAACCATAGCGATAGCATAAAGAAAAGCATAAAAATTTTCTTGTGCCTTGAACCCTAGCATTGACGCACCCTGAGCATGAGAACGTCAATATTATATCAAATAAGGAGCGTCATTAATGTGCATTCCGTAGTAACACATCATTAAAAACAAATGAGCAGGGGTAATTGATTAAAGTACGATTAAGCGAGGGAACAATTTTAACGTCAAGAGCTCAAAGAAAAAATTAATCTCAACATCTCACATGAAAAGTAAAATTTAATTTGTGAAATAAGTCTTTAATCGAAACTGAGAGATTGTTCAATAAATAGAAAAATGCATAGATTAAATTATATAAAGATATTTTATGCACCTAAGGGGAAGATAAAGAAATTTAGGTATTCGTACGTAATAGGTTTTTAAGAAAAAGAATTTTATTATATATAGAAAAATTATGTTATACATAGCCGCTTACTGAATAAGTATCTCTCTATGAAGTTCAAAAGGTCCAAAAAGACTAAGAAGGTTGTTTGGTATGAAAGAAATGTATGACGAATAAACTCGGGCAACCGAGATTTTACTCTTTAGGCAATCACCAATCAAGTATGATCAATCTATAGAAGCCATGCAACACTGTTTGTTCGTTTTTGAAAAATCATCATTTCCTGAAAAGATCATTTTGCATCTTAATGCGATAATTTCCCGAAATCTACGCGAAGTGTAACGTTGCTATTCAGAAATTCCGCTTGTTTAACATGTTAGATGATATATTAACCTAATAATATCACAAGTCTAGCTAATCAAAGTCTAATCACTGTCTCAATTCTGTAATGATCTGATCACTTTTTTTGACATTAGTAAAGTTTTGTTTATTTATTCAATGTAGTTTTTTTGGATTTTGGGCTTATTTATGATGTGTTTCGAAACTGGTTACATTGTTCTTTGACTTTCCTTTATTATTCTTCCCCCCCCTCCAACCCGCCTCTTACTCCCGCTTTTGGTCCTTTCTTCTTTCCTTTTCCTTCCTTTCTATTATTACCGAATAAAATTTTCCACACCTAATAAATAAAAAAAAGTGTGGATTAACTTTCTCTATTTTTTATTCCTATAAATCCCTCAACAAAAAGGACAATACATATGAACTTTCTACCAACTGAATTACTTCACAGTATTTTTACTCTCCTTGGCAATGACCAAAAGTCCTTGTCTCATGCATCAAAAGTGTGTCGTCAATGGCGTGCTATTGTTCTGCCTCTAATATATTATAGACCCCAATTTAAAGACATAAACGGTTTTCGCAAATTTCTACGAATTTCTTATACTTCTGGTTCTTTAGTCCGTGAAGTTAACCTATCACATTTACCTCACCGGTGGACCGCCATCACTGACCCTGATATTATTCACCTAGTTAACCTTTGTCCAAACTTAACCTTTCTTGATATTAACCAATGTTCTGCACTACAAGATTCAACGTTGGCACATATTGCAAGTATTTTAGGTTCTCATCTCACCACCCTAATCGTATCTCAGTGTCCGAAATTCACAGACAAAGGGTTCATTGCTTTAGCTCGTTCTTGCAAAGCACTTACTTCTTTGGACTTTTCTTTTACTGACATAACTGACAAAGCTCTTTCTGAGATCGCTGTTACATGTCCAACAATAAGGTGGATAAATTTAATCAACTGTGTTGGTGTGACAGAATTGAGCTTAGATGAATTAAAAAAATGGTGCAAAGAATTAAAAGTTTTACGATTAGATGGTTGCTATGGAATTTTAGGAGAAGTTGAATGTGATGATGAAATTTGGGTAACCGAAGATGAGACTGATGATGATGATGAAGATATGGGCGAAATGATGTGATGTTAGTTCTGCCTCAACCATTCTTTGGTGGAAAGTACAGTGGGAGTGGGATTCATGTAATAATATCCTTGGACAATCAGAAATAAATTGGCGTTTTTTTTTCTGAGTACAATGTTTTTTATCGGAGGGTCATTTTAGATCATATCATTATAACATTTTCATGTAAAAAGACAACATCTTACGTAAGTAGGAAAAAATAGGGTTAGCTTGGGTTGAGATAGTCACGAACGTGTGCAGAAATAACAAGCAAGAACATTCTGGGTTTATTAATCATTTATTGTTTTTTTTTCTTATTCGCTTTTTTTTCCCACATTCATAGTGTTTTAAACTAATAATAATAATTTTTTAATAATCGTAATAATAATACTAGAGCAAAGAAAAAGACTTTGCAAAAATCAAATATTCTCATTTTATTTTTTTTTGTAAAATATGCATATTCCTACCTATATCTACAAAATTCTAAAAACGTATTATGTATGGTTTAGTAAATTGAACATACTTTTTCCAAAATCTTGTAATATGTATCTTCATTTTTATTCCTTGTCATAGGCAAAAATTTAGCAATAAATATAGTACGTAGGTAATAACCGATAACTGTAAGTAATGATATATTTTTGTGATCCAATGAGTTTTGCAAATTGGAGCACAAATAAAAATATATTATTGATGTTAGCAATGTTAATGTAGATCAATGATTGTATAAATTTATGCAGATCTTGGTTTAATTATATCTTTTAATTATGTCGGTATATACTACGTAGATGCGAATCATTTTCTTGAACCCAAAGTAGGTTCATAAACTCGAGTGAGTTCAAATAAGCCAAGATAGGTTAAATAAACCAATGTAGGTTTAAGTAAACTCAATGTGGACTTAAATGAACTTAATGTGAATTTATTAATTATAAAATGGGTATAATTTGAACCAAAGTGATTTATATGAACTTGAAATGGTTTAGTTGAATCTGAAGTGGGCTCAAATCTAAACCCGAAAACGGGTTTGTTTAAGTCTTAAGTGGTTCAAATCAACAAAAAATGTATACGTACTAGGTCTTAGGCCCGGGCGTTGCTCCGGGGCTAGACCTTAAGTGTATTTAATCTCAGATTTTGTAATTATTTAGTTAAAAATAATATAATATTTAATTTATAATTTTTTAGCTCTTAGTTTTC